CAGACTATCTCCAATCTAGTAATCTCCCGACAATTCACGAAGGTTCGAGAAAGAAGTGGCGTGATACTAGTCACGTGACCTCGCTGACGCAACAGTATCATAGAAAAGTTCCCAGTAGCACAGCAACAAGTCTGAAGCTTATAACGCTAAAAACTGGGTTTCGATACCCGTGACTTGCACAGTATGGATAGTCCAATGTGTAGCTTTGTGATTAACTACAAACAATAGAAAAAATCGATCGCAATGATTTTTCTTGTAAAGTTCATTTTACATTTTTGATAAATTTGCTTTGTTATATGTTGTTATTTATAATAAAAATGTGACTAATATTGAAATTAAATACTGTTTGTTAAACACCACAGATAAACGAGTATATACTGTTCTCATTTTTCATTGGAACTAAAAATGTAGAAAGTAAATTCATCAAAAATTGTAAATAATTACAATTACCTGATTTCACCACGAGTTCGCTTATTTCGGTACGCAATCATGTAATCGAAGTGCTTTTTTATTCCAATTTCTGAACCAAGTTAACGCCCAATTTGAATTTATCGATTATAAGGTAATCGCTGAAAAGTTTTCATCTATAGCAGTTTTTAAAATTAAATTCTAATTTACAAACTGTGAAATTCCAGTTTCATACAATTAGAATAGAAGATAAACCTACATTCTAAATTTGTTCTAGGCCCACTACGGTACTACTACTACGAGTAGTGACTAGTACTATTATAATATTAATAATAGTATTATTATTAATTAGTCTCTACTAACCATAGCGTGAGTTCGGTTAAACTTAAGTTGGATTTGGAAAAGGATCGACTTCGTAGAGTATACATGGTTGAAAAGTGCAGAAGCCTCACAAATATAATTGTATTTGCAGTGTTATGATGGTTTCTTCCAAGACTCGTTTACTGATTGCTTGAAACATAACATTCAAAGATTATATGTTTTCATTTCATACCATATTCAGATACCATGCTTAATGAAAAATGATTACTCTCTCTGTACTGGTATTCGTATTAACATTCCATTGAGATTACACTAAAATTAGTGTCTTGTATAATAAAGCTTGGCAATCAGTAAATAGTGTGCACTACAAGGAGGTTGGTAATTTCTTCAGAAATAAATGTCTTTTAGTTTCAAGTATTTAATTAAATCAAGAGGGTGAAAAATACCTAAATGATAAAGGCAACAACTGTTAACCTTATTACATTCAAATAGTAACATAGATGACTGGCAACAAAATATAATGGGGCATATTCCAATTCTTAAATTGTGTGTGTGTATATATATATATATATATATATTACTGTTGAGCTAGTGTTATCTGTTGAATCACATTTAGTGTTTCATAATTCAGTTTTAAATTACGTGTTTGCTGAACATGATTTTTGTGAAAAAGATAAGATTTGGTTGTGTTTAAATTTTATTAATATAGTAAACCCCTACATAAATTAAGCTGGTGTTTAGTATGTGATATGTAATATTATTATATAAAAAGGCTTTCTTGCCTAACCAATATATAAAACATGAATTTGTTTGGGCTGATTCTTAAAATGAAATCTTGTCTTTAACACTTTCATCTCATGGTCTAACACATTTCTTGAAACTATGTGATGCATAATAGTAAAGTAATAATATAAAGCTTATTACATGAGAATTTTCATTGAAATATATTATCAAACTTGAACTATTTGTAGCAGAGAAATAACTGGTAGTAGTGTGATATCATTATGGTAAGAAACAGTAAAATAATCACTGTCTTAAAAGAATAATAAATACTGAATTTTTAAAGTTGTTATTATAAGTTTAATATGCTAACATTATGAGGGGATGCTATACATTTACATTCTTTTGATGCCAGCACAATTGTTGAAAGTAATTTTCAAGTGACTTGTTGATTTTGAGGTATTGATAAATGTATAACTGTTGGATTAGTGTTTTTCTTATTTTGGAAGGAGGCACCTTTTTATTGGTTTGCATCTTCATTAAGGTACTTCACATAGTTAAATAGTTAGGATTTTATTAAAAATCAGCTTGGTAGTAAAAAAAGCAGAGTGGTAATACAGTGCAAATGAGAAATTCTTAAAATGTGAGTTATGGGGTAGGTCAGTAGATAGTGTTCAAGTGTCTTGGGATTGAAGAACTGTTAAGTTACTCTTGTTTTTAAAAGGGGGTGATAAAAGGTACCCCGGAGATTATAGACAAGGTAGTCTTCTGTTGTGGGAAAAATTATAGAAAGTGTTAAAAGAAGCTTTGCAAAATGATCTTGTGAAATATAGTGTCATAAAGGAAGATCAACATGGATTCACTGATGTAAATGTACCCTTACTGATCTGTTAACTTTTTTTAAGGATGTTACAAGTTATCTGTATGATGAAAATAGTGTGGACTTGGTGTAATTAGATATTTAGAAACTTTTGATGAGGTATGTTGGAGAAATCTAGCAAATTGAATTGTATGAGAGAAGGCAAAAAGTTATTAATGAAGTCTAGTCAGAGTAAATCCTTGTTACTTGTGAAATGCTTCAAGGGTCAGTACTTGAGCCTTTGCTTTTTCAGAGTTGATATTTTTAGGAGCATAATTAGCAAATTCATATAGTTTGTAGATTACATTAAACTCTTGGGTATTTTTAGTTCTGTTGAGGATTTGAGGTACTGAAGAATGAGTGTTTTTTTGACAAATATTTGGCAAATGACCTTCAGTATTTTGGCATAATGGTGGTTAAGTCCTGATGCATCTGAAGCATTGTTGAGTTGGTAATAGCAAACAATAGAAATTGTATTGTAATTTGAAAATGTATTGATATACAAGTCAAAAGAGGTTTACAGTTACCTTATATGAATCACTAGTTAGGCCTCACTTAGAATACTGTTTATGGTTATTGTTTCTATCTAAAAAAAAGAGTATTTACCTGCTGGAAATGGTTCATAGGAAGGCTACTTTAGGATTATTCCAGGGAAGGAAGGGCTATTGTATGGGTAGTTAAGACTTATTTTTATAACATGGTGATTGGCTTACGATATAGATTGAGTTGCTGTCACTGTCAGCAGTAAGGGAAGCTGTCACTTTATATAAGTTTTAAAGAGGAATCGGTAATTTCCTGAAAATATGTTAAAACTTAAATCTGTGCTATGCCATATGAGGCACAAAGGGCCAGTGTTTTAGAACTCTGGTTTCAAGTGACACAAGCAAATGAGAATAATGACACATTCCTCTTGGATCAAACACCAGTCTATCATAGGTTAACCCCCAGCTAAAAGCTGGTACTCCTCATACAGCTGGGTAAACTGGAAAAATTGAGGTAAAGTGTCTTGCTCAAGGACAATAGTATGATGAGGGCTAGCCTGAAACACAGGGTATGGTAATTTAGAAATACTGTATTTTTTTGTGGGGAAGAGGTATTAGTTTCTGTGATAAGTAATAGTTACAGTCCAGTATTCTGAAGGGTCATATTTTTAAAGTGTCATAAGTTCAAAGGGTCATAGTTTTGAAGGGCCAATATTCTGAAAATTGAACATAAAAGCAATTACACATGTAGACCTAATGTTCATTCAGATTTTTATATTACATAAACAGTGGTATGAGAATAATGTTATAATAGGGACATAAGCTGATAACAGTTTACAGTATATTTGTAATCATCCCAGAGACCTTTATTTTTGTTACCCATAATTAAAGCTTTCTGGTTTTTGAAAAAAGTATGACAAAATTTCTAATATTATAGAAACAGGATGAAAATGTTGAATAACTATATGAAGAATAAAGCAAATTTCAGTACTAATAGTGGGAATATTGTAATATTTGTAATATTGTTCTGTCTCCAGAGTGATGAGAATTATGGAGTGGAGATTGATAAAAGCCTTAGACTTTTAGCTATATGTTTAGAAGTGGTGAAAAGATCTAATAAGGTTTGGGAAGCTAAGTACAGAAATTTTGAGTTCAGAAATATGGAAGTTAACATTATATTGTACAAAAGTATGGTAATGCCTCATTTCAAGTATTATGGTAAGTTCTGGTCCCCTTATTACAGAATTACAGAACTTCATTTTAAGTATTATGGTAAGTTTTGGTCCCCTTATTACAGAACTTCATTTTAAGTATTATGGTAAGTTTTGGTCCCCTTATTACAGAATTACAGAACTTCATTTTAAGTATTAGGTTAAGTTTTCATCCCATTATTACAGAATTAGCTGGAAGAAATTCAGAGACAGACTACAAAAATGTTTCTTGGTTTGAAGACTCAAAGGTTTGAACTTGTTTTCAATGGAGTATAGAAGAACTAGGGAAGACCCGATTCATATTTTCAACAGTGTCAGGGGCTTGGTTAAAATGCCTTTGGCAGATTCAAGGTGTGGTGGAAGGATAAGGTTTAGCTGTAGATCATTAGAATATGTATGGGGGCGAGGGGGAATTGTCTGAGGGCTTTCAACATTAGAGATAGATAAAATTTCTTACATCTTACATGATCTTTCCTTTTTTTCTTGATGTGAGCACTGTAATCATTTATTTTTCACATTACTGTTAACAATCAGTTATGAACAATATTAATAAAAGCAACTTTACCAGCAGTAGAAATTAAATTTTTCAAATGGCAATAAACTTTTGTACCAGATTTAAAACTAAGCAACAAATTGTAATATGAGGTGGCTACATGAGAAATGCCATATTAATGTATAAATAGTTAATATTGATGATTGTTATATCATTCATCTTTGCTTAAAAAATATTTGTAACTAATTGAATTTCAATCAAAACATGAATTTAAAAATATAATTAACAATTACTTTGCATTTCAGACAGAAGTCAGGAAATTTTATTACAAACTCGTCATTTCTAATTTGCTCAGACCATTATTGTTTTCCATCTTTTTTTTTTCTTGTTTATTATTTTGCTTAAATTGCATTTATATTGTTGTATTGACTTGGCTCTTTCTTTTTTTTTTCAGATATATATTTTGAAAATGTTTTTTGGTTTGTTTTTAACAATATAATAGTTATCAAAATTATTTTCAGAAGACTTATTATTAGATCATTTTAAACTTTTATGACAAGAAAGGCAAACTGACCATAAACTTTGCCATTATTATTTTAAAAACCACTTTTAGTCCTAATACAACAAATGGAAGATGAGTTTTGAAAGTATAGGCCATATAGATATTTCTGAGTGATTCTGTAGAGTGCTGTCACCCTTCGTGTACAAACTGTTTTTTTCCAAAGTACCGTTTACACTTTACATTATCTTAATTAATACAACATTTGTTTTAATCAAAATGTGATTCAAAACTAGAACTAACATATACTGTCAAACCCTGCGTAGTGTGATTGATTTGCATTTTGAATTATTATGTGCTTTAGTATCTGAGGGGACAGTGAAGTTTAGTACTTTACATTTACAATAGTTGGACATATTTTAAATGCTTCTCTGTAGAGAACAAAGTGAGGGATTATATTTAGGTCAGGCCAATTTCTTTTTTGGTGATCTTGGTGTGCTAGATGGTTTTCTGTCACACTGTCTTTTTTATATCCTTAACATTTTTAGAATTTATGTTAGACAAATGATCACCAGATTCACCACCCTATTTTCTTTATGTTTACTATGATATTTCACCTATGATAGGTAATATGGAGAAATATAATGGCACTGTAAGATCACAAACAATGATTGCCATCTAAACCTTCTTAGTTTCTTGATGCTTTAGGTCACCACAAAATTATACAATATATGGAAACTGTTTTTGTTAGGCAATATATGTGAAAGTTATGAGTAATAGCAGGTCTATTTTCTCATCTATAATCATGAAATCATTTAAATAATGTTATGCTAAGAAATTTACTCAACTTATATTGTACTTTGCTTATCTATTCTATTGAGATGAACATATTCAGGTGTCTGGTAACATTGAATGTATGATTTATTTATGAGTAAAGATATCTGTGTAGTTTAGAATAGGAAGTTTTATGTTACTAAAAATGATTATTTTCAGGCATTTGACAATTTGAAAGTATGAAATAAACTATTTTATTATTTCTTATCAGCTTTATTCAACATAATTTGAGCTGCTTTAACATGGCCGAGAGTCAGAAAAATGGAGCACAGAAACCAAGTGGTAAAGTTTTGGTGAGTAGACATATTTGTTCTTTTTTTTTTAATACACATGCAAAAGCTTTGTTGTGGTTTGATATTCAGTGTATGGTAATGTCGATAATTTTTTATACTTTTCGTCTTTATATGCTGATTAACTCAAGGGGCCTCTCGAGGCAGATTCTTGTACATGGTGAGGGGACCTCCCAGAGAAGGTTCTATACTTTCAGTTTACCTCCTCTGGGATCTGAACATCCATCCACATGTTTGCTGTACGTGGTGACCTGTGAATGGGAGGAGAGGATCCTGGTGGTTGAATGGTGTCTGGGGCACTGCAACACACCACTTTGGTCTTAACTTTCTGTAGATGGGTGGCCTTGGGGTGGCCCCCAGGGTCAACTGGCTGATCCTGTTGGTCAACTGAGTACCAGTGTTGAGCATTTTCAATGGGTGTTGTGGACATTGTGTCTGATGCTGGTGTTTAGGTATAGTGTTCATGAAGCCCTGGTGTTGCTGCAGTGTCCTTGTTTGGCATTGTAGTTGTCCCCTCCTAGAACCACATGGTGGGTGGGGTCAGTGGACACTGAACCATACTCATTTCATTATAATCCCCCAAATCCTCAAAAAAATAAAATTTAAAAAAAACAGCTAATTCGTAAATGACCAAGTCTTGAAGACTGACCATCACGCTTCAACCCATTCTGAACCCGTACTTCATTTTCTGATCTTGCATTCCTTGTCAGACAAACCTTTAGGGCAAATGTCTCCCTTTTTTTATTCAGAAGGGATTAGAGGGGCTTGCTGGCTCTCCAAAGCCAGTTAAGAAACTACGTTCTGGGGATATCTTGGTAGAACTCTTGAATTCGAAGGCCATAAGGGATATACCCATTGTGATTACTTCCCATGCTACTTTGAATTCCTCACGAGGAGTTATTGTTGAGAGAGATTTGAAGAACATCCCCAAGTCAGAGATCCTTGCTGGTTTCTCCAGCTAAGGAGTTTCTGCAGTGTGACATATCTCCATGTGTAAAGAAGAAATTATGTTGCCTACCAATGTTCTTATTTTGACATTGACACGTCCACCTGCTGCTGTCAAGGCAGGTTATCTGAACTGTAAGTTATGGCCATATATTCCCAACCCTCCTGGATGTTTCCAGTGTCAGCAGTTCGGTCATTCAAAGGCATCTTTTTGTGGTTTTGTGATGTGTGCTTGTTGTGGTGGCAAAGACCACGATGCCAATGAGTGCAGACTGGACCCTCACTGCATTAATTGTAGTGGTTCCCACCCCTCTTACTATCGTTTTTGCCCTAAATTGGTGGAGGAAAAAGAGGTACAGTGTTTAAAAACTGGGTTAAGTAGTTAGCACACAGGATCAGCTACAAAAGTTGTAATATTTTCAAAACAAGGCCCAAAACTCGAGCGCATTCGAATAGTTGACTATTCTTCTTCAAGGGAACAAAGGAGTTTAAAAACTGTTAACAACGTTTCTTACCCTGAGGCTCGGAAGTTATTGTCCCCTACATCTTGGACATATGCCACTGCACTACACTCCACTACTACGGTGGGAGTGCAGACGGACCTTTCTGTGCCTCTATCAGAGTCTTTTTCCATTCATGTGAAGAGTCTTTTGCCCTCAATGGATAATGTCTACTCTTATCTCTGTCCCCACCATACCTTCCAGTGACTACCCGGGTCTACCTCCTTTGGCCATGGCTTCTGATGTCTGCTTGGGTCCATCTTCTTCAGCCCCGTGATGCAGAACGATTATTCTTTCACGCCCTCAATTGCTGGAATCTAAGTCTAATGACAGAGATCTGCCTACTTCACCAAGGGCAGGATCCATGGAGGTCAACAGACCTCCTTCTAGTAAAGAAAAATGGTGTGGTTGTAAACAGAAGGGTTCTCCGCCCAGTTCTCCTCCACCTAAGTAAAAATGGCCACTTTGTTACAGTGGAACTTTGAGGTTTTCATTCTAATCTGGATGACATTAAGGCCTTGATCGATTCCTATCATCCCATGTGTCTTTCCTTACAGAAAACATTCCTGAAACCTGCCAATACAGTCACATTTTGGCAGTTTTCTTTATACCAGAATGGCAGGTTGTGTGATGGACGAGTGCATGGAAGGGTGGCACTGCTGCTCGACTAGCACATGCCCACCTTGTCAGTGTCACTTGATACACCCTTGGAGGCCATAGCCATCTGTGTTTCCTTGGGTCGTACCATCACTCTCTGTTCTCTCTACTTGTCTCCTGGAGAAACTTATGATCAATTAGACCTTGATGCTGTCATTGGACAGTTGCTGTCTCCTTTTATAATTCTTGGAGACTTTAATGGACACAATCCTCTCTGGGGTGGTGCTGATATTGTTGGAAGTGGTCGTTCCGTAGAGAGTATGCTCTCGGATCACAATCTTTCTCTCTTCAATACTGGTTCTTATACTTATTTTCATGCACCTAGTCTTTTACTTCCATTCATCTATCTATCTGCTCTCCTTCACTTTTTTTTCCATTTTCTTGGAGGGTTAACAGTGAACCACAGGCCAGTTATTTTCCTATTGTTTTGAGGGAGATTGGCCTTGGTTGATGCCACCCAACATGAGTTCCATGGTGGAAGTTGGACCAGGCCAACTGGCTCTCTTTCACCTCTCTCTTAGAACTTGATCCTGCTGTCGTTAATCTTCCATGTATTAAAGACTGCATGGAAGCAGTAACTGATTGCTTTGTCAAAGCATCTGTTCATTCTATACCAAAAACCTCAACATGTTTCCCACGGTATCCTCGTCCATGGTGGTCTCCAGCCTGCCAGCAGGCACGGAAGGTTCAGAAATGGGCCTGGGATACTTTTTGCAGGTATGGCACTCTTTCCAACTGCATTGCTTTCCAGTGGGCCTGTGCCCATGCTCAGCAGGTCAGATGTCAAAGTCAAAAGGAATCTTGGATTAAGTACACAACTAGCATCTCTTCTACCACCAGTTCCAAAGTCATATGGGACAAGATTGGGAAGGTTAATGGGAGGTATTCTTTCGATCCCATTTCCATCTTGCTCTCCAGTGGCCAGGAAGTTGCTGATATACAGAGCATCACCGATACTCTCGGCTAGAGCTTTTCTCAAGCATCTAGCACTTCTGTTTCTTCACCCACTTTCTTGGCCATCAAGACTCGAGCAGAGCGATCACCTTTTTTCTTTCAGGCTGATCGTCTCTATAATTATATTCGCCAATTTACACTGGTGGAATTGAAGCTTGCTCTTCATTGGTCTGGTAGTGCATCAGTTGGACCTGATGATGTTCACTATGAGATGCTGTGCCATCTCTCTCCTTCCTCTCTTGCTATTCTTCTGGTTGTTTTTAACCCGGATCTGGCAGGAGAACGTTTTTCCTGATGCTTGGCACCAGGCTATTGTCCTCCCTATCTCTAAGCCTGGGAAAGATCCCAAGATTCCTTCTAATTATCGTTCAATTGCTTTGGCTAGCTGTCTCTGTAGTGTCTTAGAATGGATGGTTAATGCTCGTCTTGTTTGGTTCCTCAAATCAAACAAGCTCCTCTTGCCCACAGAACTCCACCATGGACTACTTGATTCTACTTGAAACCTTGACCAGGGAAGCCTTTCTCAAGAGGGAACATCTTATTTCTGTTTTCTTCAATCTTGAGATGGCTTATGACACTATGTGGAAGTACGGCATTTTGCGAGACCTCCACTCATATGGGTTGTGTGGCCATTTACCCATTTTTATTCAGAACTTTTTACTGGACAGGCGATTCCAAGTCTGTGTGGGTTCGACTCTTTCCTGTTTTTTTCCACAATAAGAGCCCCTCAGAGCTGTATCTTGAATGTCACACTTTTAAGTATCAGGATTAATACTATCACTACACAACTTCCTCTTACTGTTGCAAATGGGCTCTATGTTGATGACTTGCACATCTCATGTCGGTCATTGAACATGAGTTTTATTGAGCCACAGCTTCAGACTGCCCTCAATCACTTGTGGAAGTGAACCACAGCAAATGGTTTTTACCTTTTTTTTTTTTTTTTGTAAAAAACATTTGCATGCATTTTTACCACCAATGGGGTTTACACGTTGATCCTTAGCTCCATTTTGGTGATGTTGTTCTTCCTGTGGTCCCTGAGACAAAGTTCTTGGGGCTTATCTTTGACCGTAAGTTTGCTTTCATTCCTAACATAAAGCAGCTACGTGTCAAGTTGTCCTGGCTAGGCTATGCATTGATCACAGTTTTTTAACTCGTCATTTTCTGTTATCTGGTACTGACCCACCACTGTGTAGACTTTGTAACACTCAAGTCACAATAGCCCACATTTAACTGTTGTGCTGTCGTTAAGACTGTGTGCAGTGGCACCATTTTTGACATATACTGTCTATGGGTTTCCACTTGATGTGGATTGGATGGTGTCATTGGCAATGGTGACACTATCCAACTTGATTGTATTTTACAATTTTTTATGAGCCATTGGCCTTTTTAGTTCTATTCAAATCTTTCATCTGTAGTTTGGACATATTTTAGTTTTAACGCTATTTATTTTTACATTATATAACAATTTTACTTTCACTGTTTTTACTGGTTGTTTAGCACAGATAGCCTGGTTGCTTTGCACCATCAAATGCCAAACAACTAAAGCAAAGTGATGAAAAGGTTATTCAATATTGTTTTATTCATTTATTTTTCAACTTTCTGTGGGCTTTGAGATTAGCTGAAACCCTTTTAAAGGATTCAGGACTTAAATGTTTTTAATTAAAATTAAATAAAAAAGGTGACCATTTTTTATTCTTTGTGGTAGTAAAATACTTATACAGGTATATGTATATTTAGCTTTTAGATAACAGTTACAATTTTATTTATATGTCAGTAAATCTTGTTTTATTTTTGTTTCAAATAAAACTATTTGGTGTAGTTGGAAGAGATGAGTCATGAAGATCTTGTGAAACAATGCAAAAAGCAGTTGATACTACTACATAAAACGAAGAATAAATGTGATGGTATGTTGATTTTATATTTTTACAATATACTCATCCTGATTACATAAACTGTGATTTTGTTATTGTTGTTAAGATTAATTTTGCTTCACAAATATTGTGAATATTACTTTGTTTTTATAATAGATATTGTTGCTAGAGTGCAGCATAAGTAATTTTTGGAGATGCTGCTTAAAATGATTTGTGCTTATAGTCTTTCCTTGTAACTAAAAGCTCGTTAAAAGGCTGACACTAAAATATATATTCTTCCTCATAGGTACTTTGTTTCAAATTCATAGGCATATTTAAATTAATTTATGAACATCTGTTTGTAATTACAATTACATTTCTTTCGGGATACAGGCAACCTGATTTAACACAGTATAATAATTGTTTATGACACTGTTTGGCCAAATTATACTCAGGATAACTAGGGAAACAATCATATTTTTCATCATGACCAGTAAAAGCATTGCCAGTAAAATATTTTTATGACTCAATTTCTAAAACTTGTAATACATTTATAAGTATGTTGTAGGTGCAAATGTATTTATAAACTAAAATGAAGTAAAAACTTTAAAATTATTAAAGAATTATTATAAAACATAGAATTGTATGGGCTTGACTTTATAATTTTTTTGGTAGATGCGTGTTTTGTGAGAGCATATGAACTCTTTTTTTGTTTTTGTTTTGGATGATGTATTTCAGAGTTAACAAAAACATGTAAAGACTTAGAAAAACAACGGGATGACATGCTATATAAACTCAGAGGAGAGAATTCAGAGTCCACCTCTTATGTTGAATGCAGAACTCAGTTGGAAAATTCTGATCTTCAATGTAAAGAAAGGAACCTTGTGGTAGAACAAGAGATTAAGGTACGTATCCATCATGTATGTATTGCAGAGAAATGGCAGTATTTGAAAATGAGGATTTAATTGCAACAAATACAAAGATTAAATATTCTTTAAAGCCCTAATTGTATTTATACAGTAAAACAAGACACCTATGAGTTCAACTATTTTTATTTAAATTAGCTTTTGGAGATAACAGCTCTGATATTGAATCCAAATGTTTGTTTATATAATGTAGTTAAACATGTACGTATCTCCATTATTCTATGAATAAAAACAAGTTTTTATGATTTATTAGGGGGAACCCATGCTTCATGTACAAAATATTTTTTGATTGTGGTGTTTTGAATATGAATGCACAAAGTTTATAAAATATAAAGGCAGTGCCATGTATTTAAAGTTATTAGAACAGTTAAGGGACCTGCCTAGGCTATTCGTGTATAAATGTAGAATTCTGAATGAAGCTGATGGCTGTGTGGGGTGTCTCAGTGACTGCTAGGTTAAACATAAGTGGGTTAAACCTATTCCACAACACGATATCTACCAAACACCTCTAATACTAAAAACACTTTGAGTCAAATGGTGTGATAAAAAATGACAAACCAATCAACTTTCAAAACCTGGGTATCGGGGGCAAGTATTAAAATTCAAACTTTAACTGTACTGTAAGTGTCTATAAACAAATGAAGAAATGCGCACACAAAACCTTAACATACAAACACTGTTGTCTGAGATGGGACTCTGAGGGATGACAGATCCATTCCACAAATACCCTTCCTTTGCAATGTGTTGTGCTATATACACCCACCTCTCCCTTACAAACATGGTGACATTGCCTGTATTCCCCTACTCCTAATTTAATTTTTGCATAGTTTAATCAAACTTAAAAAACTTCCCATGTACACACACTTGTTAATGTTAATTATATAGATTTGTTAACCATTTCCATACCAGGCGTATCATCTTTACAGCTTATAAAGAAAACATACAAGATACAAAATTAATGTTGTAAAATAGAAATTATGTGGTTTTACATTTTCCCCTCAGTTTTAAGTATTTTTGGATGTCTTTCTTGATGAAAGGGGCATCCTTCTAAAAGTAGAAACACAGCTGAACTTGAATAAAATGATGAGCATTGTAGTTGACATGATTATTTCTTTATTTAGGTGGCTAATCAAACAAAACATTTAAGGATAAATGTCAAGACTCTAAAAGAGTGCAGTACAAAGTCAAAAATGTATACCATTTAATACTTTCTTTGGGAGCTTAGTCAAAAGTGATATAACAATCACTTTTTTTTAAACTATAATGGGTTCAGACATAAAACATTTTCTCCAATAACATAATTAGGTATTGAAATGGCTTTAACCCTATAATAAAGACTGTTGAGACATAAACCCTGTTGTCACAGGTCAAAGGCCATGTCATTGCGTTTGTTGACTTGCATTCAAAATTTTGTTGAACTACTATTTAATGAATGTATGTCAATATGTTTGGTATCAAATTGTAGATTACAATTCAAATTTTAGTATTATACGTTAGTTAATTTTTAATTTAAAAGTAACGGCTAAAAAATAAATCCTAAATATCAATATTTGTGTGTCATGTGGTACATTGTATACATTATTGTTTAAAATTAGATGTTTGTTATGTCCAAAAACAAGGTCTGTAGTTTCTTATGAATTAGATACTCAAATTACCAATTTTAACAAGCTAGAATGTAAAATAACATTCTATCTTTTATATTTTCTGGGATATTAATATATTTATTGAATCAACCTCCTTTGCCCAATGATGTGTGTATAACCAATCGAAAGTTCAGAATGTCCCTTAGTGGCTTTCTTAGCTTATTTGAAGTAGTTGGGTGGCAAACTTTCTTTTTGTGCTCGATTCCAAGCAGAAAGGTAAGACATTAATGAGCTTGAAATTTCATATTTTTTAGGTCCAAATACATCTCAGTTACTAAGCTTGATAAATTATAGTGGAATTCTGTGGTATTATAATGATTTATGATTTTTGTTTATTTCAAAATGTATATATAAAAACTAAAAAAATTATTTTTTTTTAAAACATCCTCCACGTTTGAAATTTGATAAGTCTTAGCAACCTATGACAAGCAGCAAGTAAGTACAAAGTTCGTAACTACTTGCTATACTTCTTTATTTACTGTTCTGTGTTTTAAAAAAAATAAGTTTAAGAACTTGTTTGTAAATAGTAATAATACACTAGTCCACTAAACACAGCCAAGGCAGGTCACTTTGTAAAGACCAGTTTTATATTCTTGAATATGGTAACATGAGTGCACATGTGCTGCATCATTGCAACTTCTGTAATGTTAGCCAGGCATGGCTGAAAGGTCAATATAATAAATATATATATAAATGTATAATGTTATGAGATTTAAGCTATTCAGACTAAACATTTGTGTTTTCATGTTATAATCTATAGTCATTCTAGAATGAAAAATGCATAATTTATAGTTATTTCCAAATTTTTTATGGTGGTTATGAGGTCAGTCAAATAAACCCAACCCATACAGAGATACGGTAGTGAAAATAACAGATAAAACATAAAGTTTGATAATTATCTGGAGGTTATCAAGATTTCACATGTGAAATTTTCTGATCCATAAAAGTATTTTTAATTTTAAAATCAAAATTACTTTGCATGTTGGATGGTCAACATTCAAAAAGAAAAAAGGCATGAGAAAAACATTACTTAAGAAGTCTTAAAACTTAATAAAAAATCTGATATCTTGTATATGAAAGCCTTGTAATGTTTACTGATAATTTATGTACAATTTTGTGAAAATACAGTACTGTGCAAAAGTGTTGGGACAAGAGAATATTTTCTCATTTCTTCCATTTTATGGGGCTAATTCTTCCATGCCATTGCAGAATGTAAATTTCAACACTATGGTAATGCTTCACTGATCCTTGTTGACAACTGAATGAGCCAGGGTGAGAATACTTATTATTCTTTAGAATTCCCATATACTTGTACCAAAGGCATGTCATAAGGGTTTTACTTGAATGAACATATTGATCAAATTTAGGGTCTGAAATAACTGTCATGGTACCCCATGCAGTGTCTTAACTATATGGAAAGAAGCTAGCAAGGAGCTAGCATATGGTACTGGTATATGCTAGAAGAAATCAATTTAATAGCACTCTACAAATAAATCTTGATAAAAACAGTGTTTAACACTATGTATTAAGTTTTGTTGTCTTGCCATGGCCAAAACAGCATAGATAATTGTCAGTTGAGCAGAGAGTTCGCATAAAAGCTTTACATGATGCTGGCTGGACTCTCCGATAAATTGCTGCAGACTTGAAATACTTCCCAAACACTTTGATCGTGAGACTGACACAGGTAAATTTGAAAATAGGAAAGGAAGAGGCAGAACATCTAAACTCAATGATACTGATGTTAAGTATCTTTGTTTATGCAGCCTTTGGGACAGAAGGAAGGCTGTCACTGATCTCAAGCATATGATAAACCACCATGTACCAAATGACAGAAAAGTGTCCAGATCTACAGTATCAAGAAGACTCAAGGAGAATGGAATAATTGTTTGTGTATCAGTTAAAAAAACCTTTACTTCAATCTCCAAATACTGTCAAGAGACTAAAATTTGCTAAAAAGTACAAAAACTGGACTATTGATGATTGGAAAAGGATGTTATGGACAGATGAGTCCAAGTTTGAAATATTTGGTTCAAAGCCTAGGTTGTATGTCTGGTGGAAGAAAGGTGAAATATACTTACCTCAATGCATAGCACCTATCATAAAGCATGGGGGAGGCAGTGTGATGGTTTGGGGGTATTTTTCTGCTGAGGCAACAGGAGATATTTGCAAAATAGATGGAATAATGGACCAGTGCAAGTACCATCAGATACTGATCCATCATGGTATACCAAGTGGTTTGTGTATTATTAGTAAAGGATTTTACTAACAAAAACATAATGACTTCAAACACTCATCCAACCTATGCAGAAATTACTTAGCTAAGAAAGAAGCTGCTGGAGTCATTTAAATGATGCAAATGGCCCCCACAGAGCCCCAATCTCAACCCAATTGAGCAGATCTGGGATCT